CTTGCCCCGTTCCTGAAGGCATTTATGGCCAGGCTGGATGTGGCTCTGGGCAGCCTGGTCTGGTGGTTGGCACTCTGCACATAGCAGGAGGGTTGAAAATAGATGATCATTGTGGCCCTTTTCAACCCAGGTCATTCTATGATTCTATAATGTCTTTCATTACCTTCAGACATTTGAGGCATTAAAAACAGAAGTATGTGCCCAACCAAAAAATTAGGAAAAAAACAAAGACTACCCATTAACTACTTGAGTAGTTAACAACTGTATTGGTGTCATCAACAGCCGCCTTTCAGGAGTGAGAGAGGCAAAAGGTTTATAAAAAATAGAAAAGAGGCAGATAATGAATTTTTGTTGCCTTTTGGTCCCAAGAGCATGGCTGTCATCGCTAGCAAAAGAATCAACAAAAAAAACAGATTTAAAAAGAAAAAAAAGTCTACAACTTCTGCTCAAAGCTGATGCTGGAAACCCCTGTCACATGCCACGGGATCTGTCCAGCTTTATCAAAAGCATATAGACCCTTTTTAGGCACCTTCAGATATGAAATAACAGACATTTGAGAAGGAGTAAGTTCCAGCATCATAAATGGCAAGAGAAAGAATGTTGCAACAGTCTTAAATTAATTGCCCTCCTTCAGATTGGCAGTGGAACACATGACAAGAATCAAATCACCCTTAAAATCCATAGGATCAACACCATGCTTCTCCAGCAAAATTATTCACAGATTTTCCTGCTTGTTACTCTCAAATCATTTTAAACAGCCCTATCTTATTTAAACAGATAAATATCTGTATCAGTGTTTTATCTATTTATTTTAGTGCAGTAAAGAAATAAAATCATGGAGCCAAAAAATCCAGCAGCGTTAACACAAAAATCTGGTCCAAATGTGGCCTAAGAGAGAAATCCAAATCCATAATCTTTTTACATTGCAAGCCATTAATTAATTACTGAAATGAAAACTGCTCAACTGTTCTTAAAGATTTCATCTCTTTGAAAGAATAACAAGAGTTGAAGAAAGTATTAAAGTGTTTATACAAGAAAAAAACAAAAGCCAAGTAAAATTCTTTAAAACTCACATTTTAATATAAAAAACCTACTTCAAATGGTTATTTCTAATACAGTCTCTAGTTAGCCACAAGAGCCTTGAATGTATTACCAAAAATTACACAAAATGGCTAGGAACACAGGCTTATTGTTGCCTTTTTTGTTGCTTTTTAAACTAGGCAAATGAATCTCAGCTATGAAAGGTGGAAGGCCTATTAATGAATCCATCAAGACAGAATACTACATACTCCATACTCTATAGCTGTTAATTTCAATCAATTCGCTTAGCAATTCATCATAATACTTCACCTAAATAGATCACACATTAATGATAAATGCCAGAAGTGGAAGGAGCACCTCTTCTCTTTCTTGCAGCAACCACTAATTGAACCCAGCAGTTCACTAATATCAAAATTACACAGTTATTACCCTGTCAAATAACTATTTTCCTTTTCCCTCTTTTTTTCCCCCTCATCTAGAACTTTTCTCTAAAACACGGAAACTATAATTCTGATGACCAGCTGTTCTAAACTAGAATTAAATAAATCCTACCACCTGGAGACAAGAAAAAAATGAACAAATGAAATATGTAGATACGGGCAAGATAGCATTGATTTACTCATACTATTCTTCTTTTATGTCTAGGTAGACCTGTGTTGTTTACAGGTTTGAAATACTCATGTACATGGAACAGAAACAAGAGCAGAAAATCCAATAGCAAAGTGTAAAAATAAAGAAGTCATTGAGATTTAAAAAACAAAAAACAAAAAAGCTCACTCCTTATTTAGCAAGATTCTAAGGAGAAATCAACAATTAGAGACTTCATTTAGCAGCATTAAAGGTTGAATCCTAAAAGCCTCAGAGCCCAGAAGAAATATCATCACAGGAGAACCCACCAGTATTCTATTTTTGTAACATTCACATCTGAAGATTACAGAAAATTTCTTGCTTTTTTTTGTTTGTTTGTTTTTTGTTTTTTGTTTTCCTCAACAAGATAATGACCAATGGTGTAACTGCATTTTGCAGGAGAGAGAGGAAGAACAGCAGCTTGAAAGCAGCAGTAGTCTCTTACCCAGATCAGCAAATCTGACTGCCATACTTTACATTTTGGAAAATGATTCCATTCACTGCTGACTTTAAGCAATGTCTGCAGAAGAATTTGAGTTGACAGTAGTATGCAACACCTATCTGAAGCACTGAAATACTTGCAGAGCAGGTTGCTCTTAAGAACTACACAAACCAACTTATTCATGTTGAAATAGGAAGCCAGTTCACTCTCTTAATTTTTAATTGTGTATGAGACCTGAAAAGACTTTTTGTTTGCAATGACTAATAAGCAACTACATAAGCCACTTTATTGAAAGGAAAGATTTGTATGAAAAATATCTTTGCTATTAAGTGGTGGTAAGTACAAAACAAAACCCAAGATTTTTAGGAAGGAAAATATATTCCTTTCCAGTGCTCTGAAAGGAAGTCTAAATTCCCAGGAAAAGATAGGAAGGAGGAATGAGATTCTCTTCTTTCTTCATCCGAAAATGCGAGAAACTTACCCTGCAGGACAAGTCAACATCCTTGTATAACATGCATACATTAACTTCAGCATCTACAAGGGCATGCTGTTCATCAGTCCCTTCATCATTACACAAAACAGCAACAGTTTGTGTTCCACTGAAGGGAACAGACTATAAGATTAAGTCACGCTTAACCGCACATTACGTTTGTCAGTATATTCACATTTCACATATTTTGCTTTGCTTAAGAGGAACCCTACTTTAAAACAAAGCAATTCCTCCTGTGGAGATGAAAAGCGAGGCCTCACTGCCAACTCAATCACACTATGGTAGGACAGGATCTTCAGGCCATTAAATCCTTCAGTACAACTTGTTTATTTCTTCCTTCTTTGGTTAATGGATCAAAAGTATTCAGAAAAATAGTCCCAGGACACGTATTCAAGCCACTGTACTATTGCAACCTCAGAAACAGGACAGGAAAAAGCTACTTCGCCAGTCTAATGAATATCCACATTGAATTACCAAGGCCAGTACTTATTCAGTATTTTTGTTTAAATACTTTTTTTTTGTTTGCTGAGACAATCTTGTAAACTTTTATTATGAAAAAAGTCAGCATCTTTTGTCATTATTCAAAAAGATGAAAACTTGCATGACTTCAACCAGGAAACCAATTAATTTGAGGAAGGCTAAGAAATTAACTGTCCCTTATTAAGGGATTCTATTATTACTTAAAAAGCTTCCTGAATCCTTACAAAGTCACTCCAGAATTATATAGCCCTTCCATCCTCTTTTTCAATCATTCCATAGTTTCTGTAAGAGTACATAGACAAAGCATTCCCTGGATCAATGTCACAGTATCCCAGAGCAATTATTAAATAAGTTTTTTTAGTTTCACAAGTGTCTAAGTGAAATATTCAGTCTTTAGCAATGTGTAGAATCCATAATTCTCCATAATACCTCTCTTACTGAGACTGCCAAGAATACCTGGAAAAGGACTATTTGAAAAGAGACCAGAATATTTCAAGTCTCACATTTGGAAGACAAAGAGAAATCTGAAGTTGTACAGACATCTTATTAAAAAGCAGAACCATCCCTGGCTAATTTAGAGAAAGTTCAGAAGAGTTTTAAAATAATCAAAACAACTCATTCCACCGTAATGGAAGACGAATATCAATATTAGAAATTATTAGAACAATTAAGTTCCATCCACTCTTCATTTTGAACAATTAGGCATAGGTTTCCAGATAGTGGGATGGGGGGGGGGAAGCAGAAAGGTCTGCTTTGCTTTCTTCTACAATGTGTAGAATATACACCACAAGCCGTAAGATGAAAAAAAGCTTCACCCATTGTACTTCAAAAATAGAAAAAATGAAGTAGGTGAGCCACTGAAGTCATAGACAAAGCAGTGCTATCAACAACCTGATCAATTTTTCTTCTGTATAACAGATACTGAAATCTGAACTAGAAAATTCTTCTATGAAGAACCGCCTTAGCATGAACAGAGACAGAAAATGCTGAATGTTAAACCTGCATATACCTTCTCAGTAACTGACAGAGATGCTCTGCTTTTGAGCCTGAAAACAAACCAACTGCCATGGGAACTTTAATAAACTCTTCCCTCTCTCCCAAAAAATAATCAAAAGCAAACAAACAAACAAAAAAACCACAACAGAAAACACTACACACCTTCCTTCACAAAACTTCACCAAGGTCAGTTTTTTACTCAGTATCAATCTTACAACTCAATAAAAATAAATGTGTTACAGAGATTCTTCCAAACCTGATTTAATTTTTGAAGCTCTGTTCCCATATTTGATGAACTACAGCAAACCATAACATGGAGCATACACAGAGTTGACAGGTAAAATAGGAAGGGTTTAATCACACATAAAGGAGCATTGTGTAGTACTGATCAAGAAGCACAGTAAATCTCTTTATTCCAAGACATAGATCTACATTTCTTTGTTGTTTTATTTTATGGCACTCAATCTTTTGGGATAAAAAATTTAAGAATGTTTCTATTAGTGAAAATTCATCAGAAGTAATATCTATACACAAACAACATGAGCTCTGTAGTATTTCTTTTACTGAATGAAAACATTTCAAACACTTACGCAATGTTGATTCATTTGTATGGTTACTGTGAATTGTATGTCTCAATGTCCTAATCTCAACTTCGATTAAAGCACAATTTCTGGCTCTTCTACAGCGAAATAAACACTGAAGAGATCATCTGTGTTATTGTTACAAAGGCCTGTAAAGCTTCACGTGCATTTGTTTCCTCCACAATGCCATTTTATGCCGTAACTGTTGACTGATGCAATAGTGCAAACTAAGCAATAATCTCATTTCTCAATAAGTCCTTAATATGATTGTTTTAAACTCCATTATATTCCATTCAAAGTAGCTATTGACAAATGTGTTAAACAAAGAAAACAAAATGAATACCTCAGTCTGACCTTCATGGGCACTGGATTCATGAGTGACACGAATTGCCTAAAATTGAAGTACATTTCAATCAGATTCTACATAAGGTATTATTACTTATATTACTTTAAGAATCAATGTATACTCTTCTTTTTAATCACATGCTATAGCTGTAAGTTCTTTTGTTCAGTGCTTATAATAGACAGGTAAAGAAATTAGATAACAAATATCTCCACTTCCAAGGAGAAATTTCATCAGACTCAATTCAACTCAAACACGTAACAGTTTGCAATTGCTCTTTAACACACAGAAAACAGTGGTTTTGTTAAGAATCAGTTCCTGGCTTAAATAAACTCAACACTCAGGTAGAAGCTGTGATTGGACATCTTGTGTCCAGCATTTCCGCAGAACATTTTATTAAATCTCTACCATTCTTGCTTGCTAGTACTTCCCTCAGTCATATTTAACATCCTTATTTGCAAGAGTGTCACAATAAGGTTGAATTGAACTCAATCTTGCAAGTTCTTACATTATTAATTTTGACAGGTGATCATTACCATCACGAGCAACAGCACTGTTCTGACCTTCTGTCAATGGCTAGATCTTCCATCACATCCTCTGAATCAGCACTGATAATGATGCAACTAACCACACTATCGGCTCACTCATCTAATTGTCAGGTATTATGAGGGAAGAGAGAGGATATTTCAGTTGAACTGGTTCCTTGTGTACTACAGCTAAAGGCATAAATGGACTGAGGAAGCAGGACTGTCCTTTCAGTCCACTCTGCTGGCAAGTACAAATACTTCAAACTACCAAAGTAGGTATTTTTGCAGCAACTATCTGATCACAAGCTCACACAAACTCTTATTGTTTAAGTAATTTACTAGATCACGCCCCAAGACAGTACTTGGTCATGCAAATAATTCTTAAATTGTTTAAAAAGAAGAAAAAAAAAATACCAACTTCGTAAGTTTCTAGATATTTGGCCCTCTCTTCAGGAGTCATAGATAAAGAATCTTCTAGGAACTTTTTCAATGATGAATTGGTTTCTTAAATATAAAAAAAGACAGACATTAACATATTTTGTATCATGCTTTAGCTCCTACATCATTCAAATCTTACAGATTGCTTGACATTAACATATTTTGTATCATGCTTTAGCTCCTACATCATTCAAATCTTACAGATTGCTTGAATCCAATAAAAGATTTAAAGATATAATTACACTTACAACATGAACGCCTACTACAAGAGGAATTGCTACCTGCTGCAGATTGAAGTGTTTTGAGTGCTCTAGACTTGAATCAGTGTGAAATACTGGTTTTATAATTATAGGCAGAAGCACTCTTTCAGCAGAGATGCACAGAGAAAATAGTTTACAGCCTGTCAGTCCCTCCATATCTTCCCCAGTAGTAAGGAAAAAAACAGCAATACAACGGAAACAACCAAGCAACCAAATAACACTTACCAAAGTTCATTTTCTCTCTGTTGTTGGCAATAGCATGAATTAGCCCAATTGTCCCACAGGCATTGTTGATAGTTTGCTTCATGAAATACACTGATGATTTGACATCTTGCCCCTTAGCTTTTATTCTCTCTTCTTCTTCTGTTCTGAAGGTTTCATACTACAATTAAAGTTTCAGAATTTTCACAAACAGTATAGATACTGGCTATGTTATCCAAAATGCAAAAATAATTTGCATGAGTAACAGCTGCCTCATAAAACCAAAACCCGTTTTGCAACTCTTAACAGAACCAGCTTATGTATACTTGCTCAACTGAAAAACTCAGCATCACATCTATATCAGAAAAAAAAGTCACACTTAAATGATCACTTTGAAATATGTATTATCTAATGGTATTTCAAAAATGTTCAAAATATTTCCTTGATCTGAGCACCAGTCAGTCTCTCTTTACATCAACAAGTTTTTAAGGATAGAGGTCTCAAAAGCATTATCAAGCGAACTGTAATATTTCACATGTTTAACCAGTATGAAGCATTCTTACAAGTTCTATCTTTTTATACTACACTTTTATCTAGGGATATTAAGATTCATATAATGCTCACAGCTTCAAAATTGCTCTTTAAAAGCCATAATCATAAGGTAAATGTTTATTTTTCTGTAGTAATAAAAACTATTTAGTTTGATTCAACAATCTCAAATACTACTGTAAAGCTTATCATTGATTAAGAACTAGCAAAGAAAATCTCTTATGTTGTGCAATGGGCTTTTTTCCCTCCCAAGATGACACTTCAAATAGAAAAGGATGATAAAAAAGACAACAAAACCAATGTAAATGTTATAGGAGATGCTGCTATTTCCTCCTTTTGCCTAGCTTAGGTCATCTTCAGGCACAAAATACTGAATTAGGTGGACTTTTTATGTAATTATGATGAATTAGAGTTTGAATGTTGAACAGAATGAGGAATGTATGAAAATTTTCTCAGTCAGTAACAGACAAACTTTTCCAGCATAAGGATTGTACTCTGCAGCTTATCTCAATGTTTCAAACATTCTAAATAACAGCAAGTGCATTCAGAAAGCATTTTAAATTGAAACCACTTATCAACAAATTAATAAGGAAAGTCTTAATTAAGGAAAAAATGTCATGGAATGTATTATACAGATCAGATTAGAGAAGCAATACAACTTCCAATCACTCCCTGTCAAAAAAAAATCATTGCTGAGAATACTAAAAATACAACTTTGAGCAAGGACTGACCCAGATCACCTCAAGAGTTTACTTCCAATATAGGCCATCCCTTGATACAGATTCACTGGAACAGGCTCAAAATGCCCAAGACTCACACTGTTCCTCTCTCTACAACCTACAATGCAGACTAAGCAAGTCATTAATCTTTAAACTAGACAATAACCCTAAGATTATCTGTATACTAACAAGGGTATCCAGCCCTAAAAGCAAACTGATACATACTGAAGGGAAAAGAATGGGTGGGAGTAAGCAGTAAAAATATATATATACTCTTCCACCTTAAACCAACTGTCCAAGAAATAAAAGCTATATTGATGCTGATGACTGAATTGAAGATGACTGAAGTTGCATCAGTGGAGCAAAACAAAAACTCAAGAAATACTTGCAATTGATAATGTTCCACACTCCACTGTGCTCCTGCTATTGAAGCCTTCTGCTAAAAGTAGCAGAACTGTGCCATTTCAGAGTGCAGTTTAAATTTTTGAATTGTCCACAAGAGAAAACTACTTGATGTTTCTCTTCTTCCCAGTCCAATTAAAACACTTGAAGATAAACTGGAAATATACACATAAGGTCATCAAAAGAAAGTTATGAAATAAGCATTCTGTTGTTTGTTTCTAATCAAGATGTCTCTGAATAAAATTTAACTCTCATTGTGATTCTTACACCAAGGCACAAGGTTGGCATAACAGTGTGAGTTGGAAGGAACCTTAAAAATCTTCTAGTTCCAACCTCTCTCCCATGGCCAGGGCTATCCTCCACTAAATCAGGTTGCTCAAACTCTCATCCAACAGATCATTCCCATTTCACTTACAACAAAAGTGATCAGCTCATTACTAAATAAACATTTACCTTTTCTGTTATTGGAAAGAGAAGAAGCACTGCACATACAGGTCTTGGCACCATGCTAAGCAGTTCCGGTTCCATACCATAGACATCTACAAATTGCCAGTCCGGATGTATACCCAACTGCTTGAGAAACTGGAAAAGAAAACACCGAGTAATACTAAGTGAGCAGTCAAACATACATAAGAAGCATAATGAAGCATTTGCAATGTGAAATACAACACCATACACTTTCCAAAATCTTAAAATAAAAAATAAATTAAATTGTGCTACATCAGGCTGAACAGTGCTAACAAAGACACACAAAATCCCAATGTTTTACATGTCATATATAAAGCTTAAATAGCTTTATGAAATGAAAGAAGCAAGCACTATTTACTAAGACATTAAACCCATTCTGAAAGGGTGGTTTTTTGGTTTTTTTTTTGTTTTTTTTTTTTTTGGTCACCCATTAAGTACTGAATATTTACCTTAACTGGAAATCATAGGTCAGAGCACATATGAAGAAACTCGTGACGTTACTTCATACCACGAGTACTTCAGAACATCTGATGCCAGATGCTTATATTGCAGGTGTTGGGCTCCAGTAATTCAAAACTGGGGTCTTTGATGGTGTTGTGGGTTTTTTTTTGTGTCAGTATTCCACATCAGAACACCATGTGGACCAGTGGGAGTTAAAGAGTTAATGTTCTGATTCCGTTAACTGCCTTTTATGGGCATTTTGAGTATCCAGGTGGGAGGGGAGGACCTGGCGGGAAGAGGAAGGGGGGCGGAGCTCCGCAGGACCCCAGAGTCTGCCTCTGGCTCTGGCGCAGGCTCAGCCGTCTCAGCTCGCCGCGAAGAAAAGCACGTGCTTCCCTCGCGCTATCGTGGTGTGTCTCGTACTTTGGGTACTCTTGTCTCTCTCATTTTGTTTGATTCGGTTAAATTTAGTGAATTACCGTTTGTTGTCGGAACGGTCAGATCGCTGCTGTTGTGTTTTCTCTGTTAAAACTACCTGCTAGCTTTCTACCCTTCCCCCTCTCCCAGTGCGCGGCCTGGGGCCAACCGGGTGGCAGGCAAGCCGTTAGTACCCCGTCCTTTTTTTTTTTATCATTCGCTCCTTTATGTTTGGGGTGATTTTTTTTTTTGTTTTTCTTCTTCTTTTTTTTTTTTTTTTTTTTTAAACTTTTTCCCGGGGCCTGTGCCCCCCTGTCACGGACTTACATATGGGGATAACCCCGTGACAGATGGTCTTATGAACAGAGACAAAAACACACCTTTCTGTAGGTGTACCTTTTAAGATGTCCTTTTACATTTCTTGAAATCTGGAATACTTTGAAATTATGAAATAGAGTAATAATCACAGCTCTTCAAGTAATTCTCTGTTGCTTCTTCAGAACCTCTGAAAGGAGTTTAAGTCAAAACCTTTTGTCATCTTTTCTATACTACATGTAGACATCGAAATACAAAAAAGTGATTTTGGATCTGTTACCTAACACACTGTTACTTAATAAGGAAGGAAAGAGCAACTATAATATCTATTAAACTTGGATAACCATAACCTAAAACACAAGTGCTTGAGTTTTTTTAAACAGATATTCCCTATTTATTAAGGTAAGCTTTGTGTAGAAGCACAGATGGTTAAGGAGGCCACCTGGTCCAACTCCCCAGTTTCAGTAGGGACAGGAAGAGCAGGTTGCTCTGCACCACATTCAAGTGGCTTTTGAAGAACTCCAAAGGTGGAGACCCCACAGTATCTCTGGGCAGCCTGTGCCAGTGCTCCATCACCCACACAGCACTGAAGGGCTTCCTAGTGTTCAAGAGGAAACCCTCAAGCTCCAGTTCTTGAAGAGAAAGACTCTCTTAAAAGCTTCATCATACTTCCTATTCAGTGATATCTGAGGAAACCTCTTTATTGATATACCAGCAGTGAAGATGTTTAAGAAGGCTAAGAGCAAACCCAAGTCATAAAATCACAGAATGGTCTGGGTTGAAAAGGCCCACTGTGATCATGTAGTTTCAACCCCTTTGCTATTTGCAGGGTCACCAACCACCAGACCAGGCTGCCCAGAGCCACATCCAGCCTGGCCTTGAATGCCTCCAGGGATGGGACATCCACACCTTCTTGGGCAACCTGTTCCAGTGCATCACCACCCTCTGAGTGAAAAACTTCCTCCTAATATCTAACCTAGACTGCCCCTGTCTCAGTTTAAAACCATTCCAGTCCCCCTTGTTCTATCACTATCCACCCTTGTAAACAGTCGTTTTAATACTTGGAGATTACAACAGCAACAAAAACTGGTTGACATGAAAATGGACAACAGGATGAGGTTTTAAATGGAAAATGAAGAATAAGGTCATGTAAGCAACTGAAATCAAAATTAAACCCAAGAAAAGTCAACTAATTCAGAACTTTTCAGTATTACCTCACATTTTGTTTCTTAACATGCCATTTTCATACTAATGAATGTCTTCATGTCTTCATACTAATGAAAGTCTTTTTCAATTGCACAATGCTTTATGATATGGAGAAGCTGAATTTTTTTCTGGACTACCAAGCGAAAAAAATTCCATTTAAAATGTGATACATCCAGAAAATTCTTCTCACAATTCTGTTTCTTCAGTGTGTTTAAAAAAAGCTGTACTGACTAACAGACTCCTTGTCTTCACAATGAAATTTACATATTTCCAATGCAATCCACCAAGCAGTTTTGAAACTTTGTGCTCACTATGACCAGGTACTGCTGTACCCTTGAAATAGAATCAGATCAACACAGATAGCAATTCAATCTATAACACAGTAATCTAGACTAACTAGCTGAGTTGGTTTTCCTCTGAAACTACTCTTACTGAACCAAAGCTTCAGAAAACTCTTGAGGCTGACTCTGGAGGTAGAGCTGTCAGGTCAGAGATTCACAACAGACAATTATGCAATTATGCATTATGCTGGAAAAAAAACAACAACAAAAAATGTTTCTGCACATCACAAGTGCTTTCACTCTGTGAAAGTGGGAAATGGGAACTGCTAAATCACGGCCTGAGCCTCTGATTAACCACCTGAGACGAACAATGAGTCAGCCCTGGGAGAACAGGTGAAGGTAATTCACCTGTGCTACTGGAAGGGGTGGAGCCTGGCTCCACCTCTCCTATACCCCATTTAAGAGCTCACTACAAATGGAGAAAGATCTCTTTTGGAGATTGTTCCTCTTGGAGACTTCTCAGTGAGCTTTACATCTATTCTGCTTTGGCATAATAACCTGTTCAGCCCAACTTTCATGTGTGTTTCTTAATTATAACATCTGTATATTCATTGATTATACACTTGGTGAGCCAGCAGGCCAAATATACTAAAATTTACATAATGTCCTTTCTAGGGACATTTTCACTCCCGATGCTTGTAAGCAGCCTAGCTTGGTTTTGGTAGTAGAAAAAACTGAGAACGAGATATGCAGATGGATACCATCTTAGAAGCAGTGTGTAAATAAAACCACTTTCTTTCATTCTGCTCAGCAGAAGTTTCAGGAGAGGTTCACAAACAAAGGCAGCATAAATCACTTGCAGCCCCAAGTTTTCCTGATGTCACAGTTCACAAATTAGAGCTTTGCAAATGCTGAACGATTAACTTTCTACACTGAAGGTGGACTGACGATACCTTGTAATCCATTCCACCAGATGCAGAAGTGGAAGAAAAAGAGCATGTTGTGACAAATCAGCACTGCTTTATGCATTTTGTTTTTAAGATCACTACAGATACTATACTACACTTGATCTTACCCAGATGGCCAAGAAGTGGCAATACGAGATATGTGCACAGACTGGGAGAGGAGCGCACCAAGAGCAGCCCCAAGGAAAAGGACGTAGGGCTTTTGGTGGCCAGCAAAGATACGAGTATCCTCCCCTACTCTGATCTCACGAGGCCCCATTTGGAGTACTGCATCCAGGTGTAGGGCACCCAGCACAAGAAGGATGTGAAGCCGTTGAAACAAGTCCAGGGAAGGGCCAAAAGGATGACCAGAGGGCCAGATCATCTCTCCTATGAAGAAAGGTTGAAGGGGTTGGGCTTGTTCAGCCTGGAGAAGTTTCTGGGGAAGCCTCCTTGTAGCTTTCCAATACTTGAAGGCAGGTATAAATACAAGGGGGAACAAGTTTTTACGTGTTCTGATAGCAGTAAGACAAGGAGGAATGGTTCTAAACCAAAGGAAGGGAGATCTAGGTTCAATGTTGGGCAGAAACTCTTACAGGGTGGTGAGGTACTGGCACAGCTGCCCAGAGAAGCTGTGGATGCCCAATTCCTGGAGGTTCTCAAGGCCTCATTGTAAGCCCCTTTTATCAGGTGACAGGGAAGAAGAATGATTTTATGTGGTGTCCTGAACAGCAGCAGGCTTTTGAGCAGATTAAGCAGGAGATAGCCCGTGCTATGGCCCTGGGGCCAGTACAAATGGGACAGGGTATAAAGAACATCTTCTACACTGCTGCTGGAGAGAAAGGTCCCACTTGGAGTTTGTGGCAAAGAGCCTCAGGTGAGACCTGAGGCTGACCCCTGGGATTCTGGAGTTGAGCATACAGAGGGTACACTCTGACTAAAAAGGAGATCTTAGACGTGTATTAGAGGATTTGGGCTGCTTCTGAAGTAGTCGGTATTCCAAAAAGCCCACTACACACAGAAAAGATTGCATCTCTTTCTTATTAGCGGGCAGAGACATGGAAGTGATTTTGTAGATCATGTCTGACAGAATGTGATGACTTCCATCTTGTCACTTTATGCCTAAGATCTGAATTTCCTGGGCAGATTCTTTCACTTTGCTTCGCTTAATAGTGAAACCATCACACAGAAGGATCTGGATTATTTGCTCTCCTATCTCAAAAACTTTCCTGGCTGTGTTGCCCCACACAATGATGTCATCAACATACTGTAAGTGCTCAGGAGCACCGCCCTGTTCCAGTGCAGCTTGGATCAACCCATGGCAAATAGTTGGGCTGTGTTTCCACCCTCGGGGCAAATGATTCCAGATATTCTGAATGCCCCTCCAGGTGAAAGGAAATTGTGGCCTGCATTCTTTGATCAAAGGAATGGAGAAGAATGCATTGGCAATGTCATTTCATATTGGAGTTCTAACATGTCCGGCACAGCAGCACTCAATGGGGGTGTGACT